AAAGAAATTTTGCAGGGAACTCGTGATAACTTTGAATTATAGAGAGTTTCGAATTATCGCATGTTTGAATTAACGCTAGTCGACTATATATTGGAAATAAGATATAACTTAATGAAAGAAGAAATATAGAAACATACAAATATCGTAAAAGATCTTATATATACTTTTAGCACTGGACTACTAAGGTTTCGAATATTATAACAGGTAAAACTACTGTAGAAGCTATGGCGCCTAGAAGTCAACATTAAAAATGATTAAATACATAATATAATAAAGGCGAAATAGAACAGACCTACTGCCTTCAACTTGACTATAGATACGTCAATGTAAAGGGTACAAATATCTTGACATCGGTCAAGGAGATAGACTGTTATGTAAATGGGATTATTTACTAACGAAATATGATAAAAAAAATTTCAAAAATCTCATTTGAATTTCAGTTTTTAGTTAAAAATGATGTATATAACTTACACATATTTCATATTTATATCGGCAACACCGAGACGCATTCGGTTGAGCAGGAGCTATAAGATAGGGCGTTGCTAAGGTTTTACATTGAGTTGTGCAGACAAATAAGTACATACTATACCGCTCCATACCTGCTCTACTCGTCAATTCGGCTTACCGAATATGATTCCGCATAATTTCATCGTCATTTTCTATATCAATGAAAACCGAGAATTTAATAGGTACGTGAAATATATCAAAGCAGAGATTGTCCACTTTGCGAGTAGATGCAAGGCTTCTCTTGCACGAAGTAACTGGAAAATTTTAAAAGAGCAAACAGAGTAATTTATGTGTTACCGTACAACACAAATTGGTAATATTAACTGAGGATCAAAACATATTTTTTGTTAATAGCTGTACCATCCAATAAACTAGAAATATTAAGGACCAATGGTGTTTCAACAAACTTATTTTGCGGATGAATTCTTTCTGTATTCAGCGTCACCTGTGGAGGTTACTAATCGACATGGTTGATCCATTCACGAAAGTTTCGCAGCCAAGAAATTCTTTTTCTTCTTAAAAAGATCCCACGCTTCTTCGTCCAATGATATTTCCTTGCATTATAAGCTGTATGAACTAATATCTTTTAGTTCTACAGACGTGGCCAAGGAACTCAAGTTTTCTCTTTTTTATAGTAAATATAATTTTACGTTCAATATTCAGCCTTTCCAGCACTGCCTGATTTGTGACACTACGTGTCTAGGAGACTGCGAGAACGTGCCTGTAGATCATCTTTAAGAAATTCAAGAAGTTCCATATTTAGTGTCCAGTTTTCCACAGTGTATGGAAAACAAACAAAAATATTTCTTTTAGACCCTTACCGGGAGCCCTTATAGTTTCTAAGCTATGTTTATTGGCCAGAGGGTGTATAAATAGATATGGATTTATAATATGTGTTCTGAAACACAATCCTATATATTTTCTTGGTATATATGTTCCTGCTATATAGGTCCAAGATTTCTGTTAGCCAAGTACCTAGAGGGTAAAAAAAATTTGGATAATACCAGCTTTTGGATAAATCAGGTTGTACCCATTTAACATTTTTTTATCGAACAATGAAGAATATCTATGAACTAAATAAAAGTGAAGTGATTTATTATTGATCTTTTAATTATAATGGGCATTCTTCCTAATACACAAATGTATTTTTATGTGAACGAATTTCAAAATTTGGGATAAAGTATAATTGTTCATGTAACATGTTTCTAAGCGGTCACCCATCCAATGCCTGACCCCTGTCGACTCTTGTTTTCGAGCGAGAACTGGTGTGAGCCAGTGTGCTATTGCCATCAAATTCATACTAAAATGAATTATTTTGACAGATTAAATCTACAAATAATATTAAGATTGACTTTTAATGGTCTTTTCATCATATTTTAATATATATTATCCTATTTTCGACGAAGACAAATTCAAAGATACAAAAATTATAAAATATATTTTTTTCACTTTTTATTTACACTGATACATACGTAACTTCAAAGATTTAGCAACTAACTTTATACTGCCGGTCAGCGCGTAGGTACCTACTTCATTCATACTGTCATTTTTATAAAAATTGGCTCTCAATATTTTTCCCAGTTGCACCTAAAGAAGTATAACTTTAAAAATATGAACTAACATCCAATTCTACATAAAAAAAGGTACCTAGTCTTTTTTCACATAAAAAAAAAACACCGTTTTCGAAATAAACGTATTTTGTTAATTATACATGTCTCTATTTAATTTTTTGCAAAACAAGTGTGCTTTGAACTTAATGGCAACGTCAAAACGTAACTACGAATTTATTTATTATTAGTTGTCACAGTGCAGTGCGAGTCATTATTTGTCAAAGTGCTATTAAGTTTTTTATTAACCACTTAAGATAAAGGTAAAATGCCACGTCATAGTGAATTTTCTAATGTAAAAATACACGATATGATCTGTTTGTATGCCCAGAAAAAATTTTGTTCTTGTAAGGCAGCTCAACGCTATTTCGAAATTTATCCAAGTAGAAGTCAACCAAACCATAAAACTATTAGATCATTGATAGATAGATTAGGCGAAACATGGTCATTTCATCCCAAAAATAGAAATGATGAAAGACCGAGAGTAATTGATGCGGATATGGAAGATGAAATTGTTGTTCGTGTTGCAGAAGATCCAGAAACCAGTACAAGGCTTCTTTATGCGGCCACTGGTATAAGCAAATCTACGGTGTCAAGAATAATACGGACAGAAAATCTGTATCCGTATCGTTTTATTCCAGTACAGAATCTTTTACCACAGGATTTTTCAACACGGCTCCGATTTAGTCAGTTTATGATAGGTCGGCATTTAGACGATCCTATGTTTTATAATAAAATTTTATTTAGGTACCGATGAAGCCACATTTACTAGAAGAGGTGTGCTTAACCTATGCGCAGAAAATCCTCACGAATGTCAAGAACAACATTTTCAACATGAGTTTTCCATAAATATCTGCTGTGGCATATTTTGGGATTGTATTGTAGGACCATTCGAATTACTAACTAGGCTTGATGGACTAACGTATCTAAATTTTTTAAGAGAAGATTTATTAAGTCTTTTAGAAGACATATCTCTAAATTTGAGACGTAACTCTTGGTACATGCATGATGGTGCACTACTACATTATAACCTAGAAGTTAGAAATGATCTAGATGAAATTTATCCCCAAAGGTGGATTGGTAGAGGTGTTTATACTAATGGCCAGCGCGCAGTCCCAAACTAAATCCCCTAGACTTTCATCTGTGGGGCTACCTAAGGTCACTTGTTTATAAAAAAAAATAACCGCCAAGAGTTAGGTAAAATATTGTAGAGGGAGTTAACGCAATTAGAGTCCAAAGACACTCATAATTTAAAAGAAGACAAAACTTAGACAAAAGATTTAGATCATGTAGTTTATCTAATGGTGAATATTATATATACTTATTGTAATTTTTTTTCGTTTCGTTTTGAATTATTCACTTTCTCAATTGTTTTATATTCACTTCATTGTTTAATTTAATTTAATTTCTGATTTTTTAAAATTTGTTACTATGTAAAAGGTTTAATAAAAATAATTGTTTCAATCATATGCATTTTGTTTGCAAAAATTATCCACTACTAATACATTTAATATTCACTGGTATTTAAGACCTTTTGAATAATGTTTGAATTTACATAAGTTTTTGTAAATTTTTTTCATTTTATGCACGTCTCCAAAAAATACGTTTATTTCGAAAACGGTGTACTTTTTTTATTTGAAACAAGAATCCTTTTTTTGTGTAGAATTGATTGTTATTTCATGTTTTTTTTTCTAGAAAGTTTATACAGGGCGGACAAAAAAATTATGGCCTAATTAATGAACCGATGTTATAGTAGGTGGCGCCACCTCATGTCAATGGTAAAACTAATATCATTTTCATATTAAGCATACTAAATATTAGCAGGATACCAAATTTCACTTAAATCGGTTAAATAGTTTTCAATATATCCTTAAAAATAATATAAAAAAAAAACATTAATAAATCACCCTGCAGAACGAAAACTAGCCACATTTTGCCTAAGCAATTTGAGCTCAAACGCTTTATTTTGAAGTCAGCTGTCACCTATTAGTCAATGTCGAAATGATTATGGGACACCCTGTATATAGAATTATCAAGTCCACGATCTACTACAAGTTAAATTTGTTGAGGAAATGGACAAAGCCGCATAGGTTACTAACTTACGGAAATCCCACTCAGGTATAACGACGATAGTTTTTTTAATTTCCACCCTTGTAATGTCTTGATTATTTTCGTATAATTACTAATATGAAAAAATTGTATAAACAAACTGTGTAAAAAAACTGCTAATAAAATATTGCTTTTCTAAGCTTTTTGTGTATAATCTACACCACTAATAAACGCTATGTTTTGGGTCTGCCCCAAACGGATAAAAGCTCGAAAGTGGTCTGAAAGGTTTGTGTCACACCAGTCAACCATGAGCAGCAGCTCTCTCATAAAGATTGGAAACATTGGCCAATCCATTTAAGAAATATCATAGGACTATAATTAATTTTATTCTGATCGAATAGTTTTAAGTTTGTAGGTTTTTATTTGAACCATAGGTCGCAAGTAGGCGGATTCGGCTCTGTTTTTAAGTTTTCCTGATAAAGTTGTTTGTCTTTCTAAATAAGATATTATTGTGTCCCAATGGTAGCCAGCAGAAAAATATTATAAAGAGTAAATATGATTCAAGCTTCGTCGCAGAATGACACCCCCTAATTCATTATTCGTTTAGTAAAAAATTCATGACTTTGTGGTTGTACATTATCAGTTCAATAAAGTAAAAATTTATTTACAATTGACAAGAGTTTCTCTATTATCGACGTATTTCTTTGTTCAGCCTTCCTTTATTTATCTAATCAGTCTTTATCAGAATTACAATGTAGGATAGGGGTACATTTAGGTATTTAATTTTTAATCAGTTTTATAGTTTATTATATATTTGGCTTTGAAGAGGTTACAAAAGATTTTAGTGCGGATATGTAATCGACGTAAAGTGGACGCGACGTATTATCGTAGGTGCTTGTTGTTATTGGTGTTTTGTTGTTTAATAATATGTGGACAAATAAAGGTAATATATAAACACACTTTTAAATTGACGGTAATGTATTCACTAACCAAGTATTCTCATAACAGATACTGGTATTAAAGTAGATAGGACTGATATTAGAATATATATTGGTTTGTTTTGACTACTAAATTATCACCATCTATAATTATATTCAATACATCAGTTCCAAAGAGTAACAAGTCTGAATTTTAGTGATATTTACGAGTTCCAAAGGGTAACAACTTTAGAATAATGTTCTGTGAAGATGTCACATATATTTTTTGTCATAAAATTATTCTTACATATTTTAATTCCAAAGTGTTTCATTTTGTTGATTTCTTTTCCCAATCGATATATTTTTTCAGTTCCAAATCGTAACATTTCTAAATTTTACATTTCAAAATTATCAACATTGCTTAGACTTGGTTGACTTTTCGAGCTTGAGCTTTTCGAGCGTAGGTGGCTTATGATTTTTCTCATCGAACAAAGAGTTCTTCCAAAGTTATTTGCATAATTTTGAGTATTTTCACTAAAATGGACCAAAAACGTGATTTTCTAACAAGATCTGAGTGTATTTTCCAGTTAGCTTGCCATAATGAAGGATTCTACAAGTTAAACAAGGTTACTTTTTACAAGGGTACAAGGTTAAACAATTATGGATAACATTGCAATTTACATAAAAATGAAATTAGAATCTGTAAGACCTATTTCAAAAATACATTGAATATAAACAACAGAGTTATACATGCAGCTTTAAAGAATATTACAAATACCTACAGGTTTTATAGAAAATGACGGAAAAAGTGGTAACGAAAAGGCTGAACGTCCAAGGATAGATGGTGAAAGAAAGAATTTTTCAAGAAGGCACATATATTCATTACCTGTAATAGGATCTCATTACTGCCACACAAGAGTACGCAGACAAAGAAAATATTTACAATATGAACTTATCTGAAATGTATCAATTGTATTTAAGCAGTGTACAGAAAATAATTGTCAGCCTATTAAAAAGCATTTATAGGCTGTGTATTTTTTTTTAGCCAAAAAGGCTAAAAACTTTGGGCCGTTTTTTAGCCAAAAAAATGCATATTGTTTCTGTGAATATTTTAAAAATCTATCCAATGAAGAGAAGCTGAAAAACTAGGAAAACTTTAATACTCACATTAATGAAAAGAACCAAAGTCGATTAGAAAAAGAAAATGATTTAAAACTGTCTTCTTCGTCAACTGTATTATGTTGTTTTGACTTGCAAGCAGTTCAAGTTGTTCCAAACGGAGACAGAAGTGATTTTTTTTATAAAGGAAGGATTGTCTGTTATAACTTCACAATTTACGATATAAATAAACAAGGCTATTGCCATTTATGTCACGAAGAAGCAGCTCGTAGAGGTGTTAACGAAATAGGTACTTGTTTGCTAAAATATTTGAGGAATTATGTTACGGTACACATGTCATCACCAAGCACTAAGATCTGAAAATAATTAGAAATCTGTACTGGAATCAGACAGCAAATTTCAGAGTTGAAGGTGAACACACTGACTATGAGAAAATCATGCGTGGAGTGAGGCAAAGCTGTATTTTGTCTCTTCTAATCTTCAATCTGTACTCTGAAAGAATATCTATTGAAGCCTTGTTCGAAATTGAAAAAGTATTCGACTAAATGTTTACCGGCTAAACAACATCAGATATGCAGATGAAACCATAGTGCGGACCACTTAGAAGACCTACAAGTTCTTATGAACAAAATCACGTATTAGAGTCAACAATATGGACTCAATATAAACGTTAAGAAGACAAAGGGTCAACCAATCTCCTGTAGAAAGTACGCACTACAACTACCTCGGCACCATAATAAATGAAAAATGGACCAATAACCAGGAGATTAGAGCACGCTTCGGAAAGGGTAGATCCACTTTCGATCAGATGGGGCCTTCTTTAAAAGGCACAACCTCTCTCTTGATACAAAAGTAAGAATGCTGCGACGCTACCTCTTCTCTGACCTTTTTTATGGTGTTGAATCGTGGACCTTGAACGAAGATATGTGCAAAAAACTGGAAGCATTTGAGATGTGGCTATATCGGAGAATACTTAAGATCCCGTGGAATGACCGAGTCACAAATGAGGAGCTCCTCAGAAGAATGAATAAGAACCGAAAGGTAATCACCACCATTAAATCTCGAAGTTACAATTCTTCGGACATATTATGCGATATAAATCCAGATATGCTCTCCTTCAAGCGATCCTGCAAGACTCAAAATCTGGTTCAATACAAGATAAGATTGATATGATAAAGATTGTTATGATGATCGCCAACATTCGTAATGGATAGGCACATCAAGAAGACACATGTCATATATTACTCAGATTATTGCTCTGGACAAAATAAAAATAACTTTATATGAGCTCTTTACTCCTACATTCTACTAAATACACATATTGAAAGCATTATTTATGTTTTTTTGTGGTAGGACACACCCAGAACGAGGGCAATGTATGGTCTTATAGAACGTGAAAAAAACGTGCTCTGAAAGAAGGACTACTGTATGTGAATTCATAACTATTACCTATAATAAATTTGGCAACGAGAAAAACCCTATATTACTAACGAATTTCGAGATTTCATGAATATTAAAGCTTTGGTTAAAAACACAGATAAACTATACCAAGAATAACAACGGAGAAAAAATTAAATGGTGTGATGTGCATAGTGTTCAAGTAGAATAATAATCGACTCCCTATACATTTTTATACAAAAAATCATTTTTTGAGAAAGAATTCAAAAGTATAAATTTTGATCGAAGAACAAGACAGCGAGCAGACATTAAGCTAAACCCTGCTTATACATAGCTATCCACCAGGTATTTCACCTTTAAAGAAAAAAGACCTGATTTCCTTGTGCAATTCTGGGTCGATCCCAAGAGCATATTGGCATTTTTATCACAGCCTTCCTGTAACCTCCACAACTGTAGACGAAGAAAACACATTATCAGTTTAATAAATTAAGGTTTTGTAATTTAATAAATATAGAACCATACGTTTTTTTTTTTGTATCTCATACCTAATTTGAACTTTCAATGAAATATGAAAAATCTTTAATTTCAAAGTGTAACAACTGAACAAATACCTTCAAATTACTTATTGTATATGTACAGGGTTACGCAATTGAACTGTTACTAACTTCACATCGATATATCTGGCAAATCGATAATGACAGCTACGTCAAAGTTAGCCTGATAACACTTCAGTAGACAAGGAGGAAGTCTCAGCCCAGTGCTATTCATACATGTAATAGATAAGATAGTGAAAGAATGTAAGAAAACATTCAAGAAAAACTGCATAGGTTGGAAGAGAACGCAAATGATAAACGCTGAGATGTGTATATTTGCAGACGACATAGTACTAATTGCGGAAACAGCAGAAAAACTGAAATACAACTTAGAGAAATGGAACCTAGAAGCAAGTAAATACAACTTAAACGTAAACAAAGAGAAGACTCAGAAAATGAAAATATCAAGGAAACAAGGAACGGAAGATCAAATAGACGTAATGATAGACCAACAAAAAATAATACAGACAAATTCATACAAATACTTAGGAACAGTAATCAATAACAAACGAGACATCGAGGACGATCTTAACAACAGAATAGAAAACACAGGAAAATTATTCCAAACACTCAATAGAGGATTCCTTAATAACAAAGAAATATCAACAAAGACCAAGATGATAATATACAAAACAATATATGGACCTACAGTGACATATGGAGCAGAAAATTGGATATTAAACAAAAGACATCAGAGTAGAATTCAGACAGCAGAGATGAAATACCTCAGAAGAACGATCGGAATAAAAAGAACTGATAGAATCAGAAATGAAGAAATAAGAGGAAGACTCAAAATCAAACCGACTCAATCAAGGAGAAAAAATTGGCATGGTTCGGACATCTCACCCAGATCGACAATAGACAAGTAAAACGTGTGTGGGACGCCAAACCGATAGGGAAGAACAGAAGAGGAAGACCCAGTGAAGAATGGAAGAGTGACATCTCGCAGATACTGCAGAGTAAAGGTAAGACTTGGCAGGAAGCAACACAGATGGCATCCAATAGAAAGAAACGGAAAAAGTTCGTTAAGAGCTAGGACAGCTCAGAAGATTGTAAAATATTGTAATTTATTTAATTGTATTATAAACGGCCCAACACCGAAAGATACAAATGGGTCTACTGATTAAGTAAGTAAGCTATTATTTAATTAATTATTTAATATGAGGAATACTTACAAGAAACTTTCAAAGGTTAGATAATTGATAGCATTAAAAAATTGCAAAGTCTAAAGTGTGAATATGACTGGTCACTAAATCGCCATAATTGTAAATAATTAGGCATAACTCTGAATGGAACCAATAAATAATAAGTAATAATAAAACGGATCCTTTTTCCCTCTCCAGTTGTCTTTTCAGCCGATTTAATCCAATGGTTTATGATTTCTTTCGTTGGCCAAAAGGTCACCGTGAGATATCCTCACATGCTTCGTTGTAATCTATAAAAAATAAATCAAAAGAATACCTGCCTATCTATACCAAACCATAAGTTATGTTATTTTTCAAAATGTTAGGAGATAACAATACTGGACACGTTTAAATGTGAATATTTCTGTGTAACCCGTAGAGAATTGTCGATAATCATAAAAAAAACAGCGATTTGTGAATCAGGTTCTCCAGCATTAGTCAGCCATCGTGAAAGCATGAGCGCCCATTGTGATTGGTCGAGAGGGATTCGGTGCCGGGTATTAAACTTGTTTGTTGTCAATTTAATTGGTATAATAATTTATTAGTTTATAAAAAGAGCTATAAATTGTTTAGTAGTATATTCAACTGTTCCAGAGGAAGTAAATCCGCTTTTTAAAACGCTATTTTAATGCATATTTTAAAATACTTAATGAGGATGATCGTTCTCGCTATAAAATGAAAAATAAGTTTATAAATATATTTATGTATTTCCTTAAACTAGATTATCATAAA